CGTTTTCGCTACGCTACATTTTACATTTTTATTGGCGGTGAATCGCCTAGTGGCCATAAGCTTACCGAAATTCAATTTTTTTCGAATCAACAAAGTTCTATCTTCTTCTCGTCTCCATATGGCTATTAAGTTTCGGTATGATCCGTTAATGTTTTCGTGCAATTCATCAAAACATCATTGAACCGGAAAGGGCCTGCAAGAGTCTTTCTCCTTATTCAACGTCGCAGGAATGAAAATTGCAACATCGCATCTATCTACAAGTTTCTTGATGAATCTCGCAATTATGAATACGCTTTCGTTTTTCGGCTCAGATTAATTGCTAGAAATTATTATTCGATGGCCGACAAACAAATAGTAGATAGTTTGATAGAAATTATCAAAAGTTGATCACTTCGTTCTTCTGTTTATAACCTCATTGATATCAATGATAAACCAATGCTCAGCCCTGTACAACATGTGGATGTACCACAATGAGCATATCACACTATTATCACTGTTTATAATAAACAGCGCTTTACAATTTTCAAATGCTTTTTAGCGATATCACTCATAGAATTTCGTTATTGCATTAGAATTTTTAACATACCGAATCTGCAATGGTCCATAAACTGTACGAAAAGAACGCCAGAAAGTGGAGCTGTCTTTATGAGGTTCATTATTTTTCAATTAAAATATTTATTTTCCGAATACAATCTTAAGTCTACCTCACGTAATGTTGCAATTAAAATTCAGTTTTGCTAATCCAATATACACTTTTCAATTTTCTTTTTGCTGGAACGCTTAATATCCAACAGTGAACAACTTTACTTGCTACTATTCGACCATTTCCTTGCAGGATTCGCTATGTATGGACATTAGCATTACCAATAATTATCTTCGCAGTGTATGTTCCAATATTTTGCACTATGCGTCATAAACGGAAGGCAGTTTTGAAGTTGCATAATGACAATGGCAACAGTGGTTTTTTTTTTTTTTGTTTTTCACTTAAAGAAAAACACAAACTGCGTTTATCCATACAAATATTCTTTTGAAGTTTTCCTCCAACATATTCAGAAAACTCTGAGATTTCGAAACAATCTCAATTTTCTTTATTTTCATCTTTCATCTAATTCTTAAAAAAAAAAAGCAATTAAATTTAGCTGCTATAAGAATTTTTGCAGGATGTGAAGCGAAGAGTACGGTTGAAACGGGTAAATATGAGCGATCGATGTTAATTCAGGCAATGTTCGTTTCTGGTGTAATAGAAATTCAAGTTTTCTGCTTCAACTTTTTGTCGAAGCTTGCTGTGAAACTAGCAGGCAAAGAAATTGAAATTCCCATCCACATTTTTGTCAACTGCTATGTGATTTTCGGTAGTGCTGTGCTACCTACTGTCAATTTAATTTTCGTCAAACGATTTCGTAACAGCGTCAAACAAGCAATTCTAGAATTGTTGTCAAAGATTATGATTAAGACGAGAATGTTTACTGTAGTACATATTGTACCCAAGACGAAAATTCATTCAATTTTTACGTAAGCCAATACAACTATGTCTTATTTTTATACAATATAACAAGTTTGCATTTTCCAAGTTATTCAATCTCAAAATTGTTGCGCTTTCCGCTATCTTTTGTTGTTGTTTTAGTATCTCGAAATACCTTTACTTTTCAATTTCATCATGAATTAATTTCATGTGCAAAAAGTCTTCCTCCAACATATTCAAAAACCTTTGAGATTTTGAAATAATCTCAATTTTCCTCATTTTCTTCTTTCATCTAATTCTTAAAAAAAGTAATAAGGTTTAGCTGATGTAAGAATGTTTCAGGATGTGAAGCGAAGAATACGGTAAAAATGAGCAAATATGAGCGGTCGATGTTAATTCAGGCAATGTTCGTTTCTGGTGTAATAGAAATTCAAGCTTTCTGCTTCAACTTCTTGTCGAAGCTTGCGGTCAAACCCGGAAACAGAGAAATTGAAATTCCCATCAATATTTTCATTAACTGCTACATGATCTTTGTTGGTGATATACTACCAACTGTCAACTTAATTTTCGTCAAACGATTTCGTAACAACGCGAAACAAGCAATTGTAGAATTATTTTCAAAAATTATGATCAGAAAAAGAATGTTTACTATAGTGAATACCGTACTTAAGGGAAAAGTTACACCCAGTTGCACAGGTAGACTAATACAACTGTGTCCTATTTCTATAAAATATAACAAGTTTACT